AAATGCAATGTTAATCATTATCTTCTGTTTTCTTAATTCCTGTTCTTCTATTGTTCTCTCGCCTTAAAATTTTTTTTTCCTTTTTCTCATATTCTTTCACATTCAGTAATCCATTAAGTTTTAGCAGCTTTACAGCCTTGCTTAGGGTGAAATTATAAAAAAAATGAAATAAATGTTTATTAAGTAAATTTTCTGCTTAAGAAACAAGCAAACTTTTTTGACACACTCATATTTTAATACAATTTGTTTTAATGTATTACTAAACATTAACCAAAAAAGATGATATGTTATGAAGACCTAATTTTTAATTGAACCAAATTGAATTGTGATATCATACCTGATTCAGTAATTTCTACTAATGTTTAAATGTTTTATTTCATACCCGTCAATTTATCAATGTTTTTTTTTTTATATTTGAATATGTATTTGTTGGTTGTTTCTGTTTAGCAGCATATCAACACCTCTATGGGTTATTTAATACCAAAATCAAAATATTTGGTATGCAATTTTTATTTTTTTTGGAGGGGAAAATAATGTTTTTAGTAATACAAGTTTTACTAATTAACCCACAGCTGGGGGGGAGAATAGGTGGATTCATATCTTTCATAATGGCATTTGTGCATAAGTGAATACAACAAACCTAATGGGAATTGGAACTCAGCTCTCCGATTAACAATTCCATGCCATTATCTATTACACCATCTGCACATCCAAGCTTACAGTATCTGGTATTTCCAAGAAGTTACCCATCTAGGTACTGACTGAAATTGCTTAACTTCAGTGATCATATGGGAACCAGCGTTTACATATTGATTTCTAATCATAATTTAAATCACCTCCTGCAATTATTCTGCTACTGTCTATGTTTATAACGCATTGTGACTATGCCATATAACAATGTTTATAAAGTAAATAGGTTTCATAGATGCAATCTGGTTCTATGAAATTATGGAAAGATATGTAATACTATTTGTCATTGCTGCAGTAAAATGGAAGAAAGTTTTTTTTTTAAAACATAAGTCTTATGTACTGAGAGACATTGAAACAAGAAAGGTTAATACCAAAAACCCATGGGAAGAATTGAGGATTAAATTCACATATAAACGACTTGAATTGTATGTCAAGCAGTTTGAACAATGGAAAAGTGAGCCAGACTTAAAGGGTAATGATGATTGACATGTGTTCTACGCAGTGGAAAATGCAAGCTGTAAAGCGAATTAAGTAAAAGAGAGTCAGAAGAGACAGAGAGAAGACCAGAGACAGGAGATCTGCTGACGGAAGCCTCCAACTTCAGCCTTGTGCCAAACTTTACCAAAGGCAACAATATCATTTTCGATTTAAATGTGGGTTGGGCTGATAATTAATTGCATATGAACTCTGATATAAAACCAGTATTTACTTTTATTCAATTTATTCAAGTGTTATTTTTTTTTTTTCCTGTATGTCATCACCCCCCACTTGGTCTATCTCAACTCAAAAGATACCTGCAATGTTTTTATCTTGGATGCCTTATGATGAAACTTAAGTCACAAAATGGGATAAGGTTAGTTATGGATTGAAGTGGTCACTTCAGGGACCAGCTGCAGTGTTGGGAGTCTTGGATGACTGGGGAGGGTGTTGTACGATTATAGATAAGGAAAAGTGAAAGAGAAGTTTGGATTAGAATATTATTTAAATTTTAAATAAAAATAAAAATTTCATTTTTTATTTCCATGAATCAATATTCTAATTTTCATTATTTCACCATATGAAATACTTTAAATAATAAATATACAAGCATTGTTTTACTTTCAAAGCAACTCTACAATTGCTGATGAGGATGAAGATCATGATAATGACTGATTTTTGAAAAAGAAAAGTAAGATTTTAAGAGTTTGTACAAAAAGACTTACAAATCTTTGTCCATTCTCAAAGCAATTCCAAATGTTTCCAAGAGATCAATGTAATCCAATTTACTTTCCCGTGGTAAAATCGAGTCTAGGATTGCTTTGGCTCGTCTTAAGTTTAATTTACCTTGTTGACCAAAACACGTCTTGAATCGCTATTTTCAAAAACAATAAAGTGAAATAAAAAATAATTAATATAAACCAATCAGAATTCCTCAGTGTAGTGCAGTGGTTTTTGAAAAAGCTTAGTCTAACTGTCTATATTTCTGTCCTCATCTTTGTTGCCATATTTATTACGTTTCGGCCGTTGTACGCTCCGGCCTTCTTCAGGTGGTTGGAATGTCGAACTGAACCCTTTATTTCGTTGACTGGGGTAAACTGTTCTAGTTCATGTTTAATGGATGTCAGTTATCAGTTATCTCCTGTTATTTTTCCCTCTGAAAGTTCTCCACTGCCTTAGCTGGGTATTGAACTCACACTCTTTGGGTTCTGTCACTGGATCTAACCAACGCCTTTATCCACTGTGCCATGTGTCCTTGAGCTATATATGTTGTGCCATATGCTAGGCCACAAAAACCTCCTGAGCTGACCAAGCATAGAAATAAATACAATATGGTAACCAGTAATAGGGAGTGCCAGAGAAAAGTGATAATAACAACAAAGTTGCAATATGAGCTCTGGTAAAAACATGCTATGATAACAGCAAAAATTGTAATATGAGCACTGGTAAAAATGAATACCCAGAAATTCATACACAGATGTCCTCAAGGACACATGGCACAGTGGATAAAGGTGTTGGTTAGATCCAGTGACAGAACCCAAAGAGTTCACACTCTTTGGGTTCTGTCACTGGATCTAACCAAATCTAATACCCGGCTCTAATACCCGGCTAAGAGGGAAAATTAACATTTAACTGATAACTGACATCCATTAAACATGGCACGTGGAACTAGAAGAGTCTACCCCAGTGAGCAAAATAAAAGGTTAAGTTTGACATTCCAGTCACCTGAAGAAGGCTGGAGCGTACAACAGCCAAAACGTTATAATAAATATGGCAACAAAGATGAGGACAATAGTCCAAATAATGTAAATAATGCTTAGCCTAACATTTATAAAAAAATAATTAATATACATCATTTTGATGATTTTACTATAAACATGCATTGTATAAGAAAGGGATTGACAGTGATTACAAATTATTCATGCATATATTGATCATCTCAAAAAAATTACAAATATCAACATTACACAAATATTAGTAGATAATACCAAAATACCACACTTACTGTAAGGAAAGAGACAAAATTTTAGGAGTTAAAGTTTTACAAATTATTTAATGTTGATTGGTTTTTTTTATAATAATTTATATAAAAATAAACAACAAACATTAAATAAAATGTATTTCACCACAGATGATAGTATATTAAAGTGTGTATGAAAATACTTAATATCCATACAAAATAATAAAGGTGTATATAAATATTTGCCACATGTTTTTATGGTGTGTTTTAGCTGCGTGTAACCATTTTACACATCATCAATTTGAACTAATAAGAATTCAAAACACTTAAAAAAAAAAAAAAAAAATTAACAAGATGCAACCAACAAAATCTTGTCTTCTTCACTGACAACACCTAGTTCTTGATAATGACTGAGACGGTTGAAAATATTTCAACAAAAACGTTTATCCACAATTTTGATCCTGATGTATGACATATTAAAAATTGGAGAAAAAAGAATAAAAAAATTAAACAGACAGACCTTATGAATTTTTCAGTGCTTATCCTTTATATACAAGCTGTAAACACATTAATGATTTTTACTGTAGAGATGCAGCAAAAATTAGGTTGGACAGGATGTCAATGGTAAAGAATTAAAGTAAGTTATACTGAGAATAGAGATGTTATACACATTAAATATGCAACTTGCTATGCACTTTACTGCTTAAACCTGCATTTATGCACTGACTTTAAAATCCTCAATTTAAATACTAAGATTTTGTCCTTGCTTTTTCTTGCATCAATGAAAATTTGTGTCTCAATGGTCTCACCTCATCCATAAAGATCTTTGCCAGCAAATCAAAGAGCCAAACAGGGTTGAAGAAATAGAGAGAAGTATTGTCAAACTTTGGATGATAAAGAAGAACTCCAATTTCATGTAAGAATATTGAAGCTGTAAGAAAAAAACAAGTTTTAAAAACAATTTGGAATTCTCATTTTTATAATCAATTTGCAGAATACAGCAATCCCCCTTTATCCATGCCCAGTGGATGCCTGAAATAATAGATAAAACTAAATATATATATTTTAGGAATGGATTTTTCATTTTTTAATCTGACACATTTTTATTACTTAAACATTATTTTTAGTGGATATCTGTATTGAGTAGGCAGTCTATTTATCTATTAAACAGAATATTTATTCATTTTCATCTACTGGCTTGAATATTTGAGAAATCTTATTAGAAAAATATGCACTCTCCTGCAGGATTTGAACCTGCATTCCCTAGGAGAAATTGTCATCAGATCTAATGTGCTTCTCTTTAACCTATGGCCAAGTAAAACCTATATAGTGCTGTCAAACACAGATCTTAACCACAGGAATCCACTAAAAATAATGTTTAAGTAATAAAAATATATTGGATTATTAAATGAAAAATTCAATCCTAAAATGTATATGTTTTAAGGGAAAGAAGAATGAGAAAGTGGAAAAAATGTGACATGTTTTTTTCCTGTAGGACTTCATCAGACTAAGTTTATATTTACATTGGTGCAAGTACACATGCACCTGAATGAGAGGCACTGGGAATTTTTAATTTAAAAATAATTTTTTGTTTTTTATATGTGTTTTGGTTATATAATCTGACAGATTTCATTTAGATTCTTTTTCTTTGTGTTTCCATCACTTTTATTATTAAATATCCCACATTGTGAAAACAGATCTGCCAAGAATGTTGAAATAGTGTAAGTACCTGAACACAAATTTACTGTGGCTGATCTGGTGATTAAAGCATTTTCTAAACATTTTCATTTTAGTGAATTGTTTTTTTCTTTAAAAAGAGTAGCATTTTTTTAAATGAAAATTGTGGTCAGTCTCATTATAGTGAGTAACTAATGCATTTAAAATATTATTTTGTAAAAAATCCCTTTTGTGTTCATATAATCTTTTATTCAAATTCCTCGAGGTTTCTCTGATATATTCCGTGTAACAATTATTACAGGTGATACAGGAAATTCCTCCTTCAAGTTTTAGCTTTGTTGATGTAGTTGTGTCAAATTTTATGCTGAGTTTAGATAAATTCTTTTCAATTGTAGTTTGTTCTTGGGAATTAACAACAAAAATAATAAACTATTTATTTATTAGACTGTTTACACTATTTATTATATTTTTTCTTGGGATGGTTGGCATAACCAATTGTCAACTGATTCCAGCTTTATAAAATGGTAAATAATAAGGATTTCCTTATAGCTGGTTCACATTTTTTGATAATATAATAAATGTTTATAAATTTATGAATAAAAAATTGTTCCTATATTTATTTCTTTATGAATTGGTAAATGATAAATATTACATTAGTTTTAACTGTATTAGTTTTTAAAATCCTGTAAATATAAAATTATTGTAAATAAATGATTGAATAAGTAAATGGTGTTTAATATTTTTGTTGTGAATTCTTGAGAACAAAAAAAAATGTATATAAATTAATTTTCATCATGTTTAGGTTTTATTACAATTCTAATAATCACTTTTTAAAACAAACATCACTGAGGAGTGAAGGTAGTTAAAATAATAGTAAAAAAGAAAATTTGCTCACCTCGCTGTAAGTCAGCATGAGATACAATATCATTGTTTTCCATCGATTCAACAAACTTTTTAAATTCATCTTCAAAGCAATAATTTATTGAAATACCTTGCAAGATTTTTTCTGCTAAGGAAATATGACTTTGTGGAATCTGCAAATTAAAAAAATGGAAAAAAACATTATCCATCGACAAAATATTGCATCCTGACTAAATATATATATATTTTTTTTTTTTTTTTAGGAAGAAATTGTCATTATTTACATTGTTCAGAAATGAGGTATTATTTCTGAGATGAAGTATTATGTACACTATTTACATTATTTGGACTATTGTCCTCATCTTTGTCGCCATATTTATTACGTTTTGGCTGTTGTACGCTCCAGCCTTGTTCAGGCGGTTGGAATGTCGAATGGAACCCTTTATTTCACTCACTGGGGTAGACTGTTCTAGTTCCACATGCCATGTTTAATGGATGTCAGTTATCAGTTATCGCTTGTTAATTCCCCTCTCCTTGAGGACACATGGCACAGTGGATAAAGGATTTGGTTAGATCCAGTGACAGGACCCAAAGAGTGCAAGTTCAATACCCAGTTAAGGCAGTGGAGAACTTGGAGAGGGGAATTAACAGGAGATAACTGATAACTGACATTCATTAAACATTGCACGTGGAACTAGAACAGTCTACCCCAGTCAACGAAATAAAGGGTTCAGTTCAACATTCCAACCACCTGAACAAGGCTGGAGCATACAATGGCTGAAACGTTGTAATAAATATGGCAACAAAGATGAGGACAATAGTTCAAATAATGTAAATAGTGTACATACCTCATCTCAGAAATATAGACAGAAATTGTCATATTTGCCAGCATATAAAGTGTATATTTAACCTATACCTTCCCGTCACTAGTTTAACCATTAGCACTCTATAAGCAACTTTGTTTACTGGACAAAATGTTTTCTTGTCACTGTAGGAAACTGATCACAAAACAATAACATGCTTGTAGTTTATTGTTGTGTTGTCATATCCTGCTATGGAAACACAAAACAAACTTAACTGAAATTGACAATGGAACTAATGCAGTTGAGGGGCTTTCAAAAAATAACAGTGAAATGAGAAAATAATACAAGTGAATAAATCAGAGTGCAAAAGGCTAAACTTTTCATTTTAACTTTTCTTTCTGCTAGGATAGCTAAGATTCTATATCCTTGTTTGGAAATGAAGTCTAGGAGAAGCACAACTCTGAATTCAAAACCATGAATAAGGAAACGAGAAGCCATTCCACAAATAATTATGTCAATTTGCTGATGTTAAAGAAAGGAAGCCATGATGAATCATTATCACCTTCATCCTAAAGGGACATGGCATTAAAAAATGTTTTTTAAGCTTATATAAATGATCTACATATAGTATCTTTTGATTCTCTGAAGGTTTATTTTCAAGATCAAGTCTACTTCTTTCTTCTTTTCTGTGTGGTGTCCCTTCAGGACGTAAGCAATCATGGGCCTCCACATCTTCCTGTCCCTTGTAGCTCTTAATAAGTTTTGTCTTTTTGTTATTTCTCCCAAACCATGTTTTACCATTTATCTGCTCAAGCTCATCAAGTTTTATATGCTGCTTTCCTCCCTCCCTCTTTAACTCAATCTGCCCTGTGAGTATCAGGTTTTTCAAGCCATCTTTCCTCATTACATACCCCAGAAATTTCAACTGCTTCTTCCTGATGTTAAGTATATCTTCATTTTGTTTTCATTTTCTCCAAAACCTTGTTGTTGCTCCATGTTCTGTTCATGATATCCTCAGCATCTTTCTGTAGAACCACATTTCTGTTGCTTCACATCTCTTCTTCATCTTTGAGGAGATTGTCCAGCATTCACTGCCATGCAGCAGGACAGATAGCATGTAACAGTCCAGTACTCTTTTCTTTGTTTCTAACAAAATTTTTCAATCTCTTAATACTCTGCTTAGATTTTGGAATGCATCTTTGACCATCCCAATATGTCTTCAGATCTCAGTGTCACACTTACCGTCCTCTGTTAGAACACTTCTCAGATATTTAAATTTCTTTACTTGTTTGATTTAGTATCCATGATCCAGGTTCAAGTCACCATCTTTAAAGCACATACACCTATTTGGGGTCAAAAATGGAGTATTGCTGCTTTATATGGGCATTGGGTAAAAGAGTTTCAGAACCACTGAGCTACACAATCTTATTCAGTTTTCAATCACTTTTATTTTTAAATATCCCACATTGTAATGGAGTAGTTTTATTAGGAAAAAAGGTATTTTGTATGATCCTGGTCATAAATTTACCATTGAAGATTCTGAAATTTTTAACACATTTTTGCTTTAATAAATTATATTCTCTTTTAATTAAAACTACCTTCTTTAAATCTACATTACGATCAGACTTATTACAATGAATGAATAATACATTGTTTTGATGCCTCTATTCTTTGATTTAAATTCATAAATGTTTCACTTATATATTCATTGGGAAATTTTTCTTTTATAGTTTATTCTTTTCAGTTGCAGTTGTTATTGAGTTTGTAGGTAGTATTAGTCGACTAGTATTATCAAAATTATTTGTGTTATTCACTTTTCCAACATTCTGGATCTGGTAAACTTTTTTGCATTATATATAGCCTACAGCCATATCATGCTGAAACACCAGTTCTTGTATGATCACCAAAGTTAAGCAACTTTGGAGCATGGTCATTACCTAAATGGATGACTGCTTGAGAGTACCAGGTGTTGCAAGCATGAATGCACAGCTGGCATAATGGATAATGGCTCAGAAATCAAAGAGCAAAGTTCCAATTTATATTTACTTATATGCATAAACACTTGGGAAAGGTATGAACCCACTTCTTCTATGGATGAATTAGTAGGACTTGTATCAGTAAATCATTGTTATCTCCAAAAAAATTCTTACAACCTAAAAGAGAAATATTTTCTGGCTTTAAATAACCTGCAAAAGGTTGATAAGCCATAAAAAACAAATCAATCTATCAAAAACTATTACATATGAAATAATTAGGACATTGGAGATGTTTTAAAGTATTTTAAATGTGTTTCGTATTCATGATACAAATATTGAAGGTACATGTATTTTTAACCTTTACCCCGCTAAATTTTTTCTCAAATTGTTCCCCCCTGCCACTGCATTTTTTTGAGGGTGCAAAACAAAAACACCTACTGTTTTAAAAGTGTTCTAACTTTGTTTGTATTGTGTATATAGATTTTAATTTTTTGCATACTAATAAAAGAATGAATGAGTAATATTTTGATGTAATGCATTACGTTTTGCATGCATGTTTTGATATTGAAAACCAAAAAAAATGAAACACAAAAAAAAATAAAAAAGTACATTAACAACTTAACATACTTTTACTTTTATTACTCCTTGTGGAGTTCTGGGGTGCAATAAGAAGCAAAATAGCTAAGAAGGTTTTCATTTCATCAAAAAAGGGATGTGCTTCCTCATGTTTATATACAAGAAGATACCAGCATTTGTTTGCTCTTTTTTCACCTGACTAGCATATTTGTCTCATTGACAAATAAAGTTATTATTTTATATTTTATGTGTGTGTGTGTGATAATATTAATAATATAGTGGATTTGATTTGTTTTGTTTTTATGACTTTGTAGGTTATTTAAAACCAGAATATATTTTTATTTCTAAGAATAATTCTTTTTTTTTTTACAAGTGAATAATAAATTAACAATTTGTTTCGAGAATAACAATGACTTTTGAAGATAAAATTCCTATTATTTAAACCATAGCTTGGGGAGATATGGATTCATGCATGCCTTTTCTCCAAGTGTATTTGTGCATAAATAAATGAAATAAACCTGACTGGAATTTGATCTTGTTTTTCTGATATCTCATTCCACGCTACTATTCATTACACCACCTGCATATCCGCAATAATCTAGTGGAGTCATAGATAGCCTTTAAATGTATAAATGAAATAAAATTTGGAGTAAAGGTCTATATCTAAAAAATAAATAAATAAATAAATAGGGAAGTAACAAGAATGACTAACTTTTCGGCTCAAGAATAATTCTCCATTGTGATTGTTGTGTTTCATATTCTTGGCAACATTGAAGATATCAGTAGCAAGTTCTTTTACCCCAATGTTTTCTGGAGAAGAAGTTACCCATAAGTCCGCAATGATAAAAGACATATGTTGTTTGTTGTACAGGGATTTTATCTGCGATAGAGTACATTTGACGAGCTCTTCTTTGTTACCTGCAAATTGATCGATAAATGTCCCAACAAACATAACTACTGCTTGCTTTGCTTTGGCCTGAAAGCAGAAAACAAAAAAATTTCATGCCTTTCTTACATAAATTAAGAGAATTTTTTTTTTATTCACTCCAAGCAAGGAGGGAGTGCCACTAGCATGCAAGGGGTTACAGAGGATAGAGAACAAGAGTAAAGAGGTGTGTTTGAGGAAAGGATACAGAGAAGGAGGGGGAACAAGCTCAGGGTGTAAGATGTCAATTGACATTACACTTGAATATTTGAAGATTATAGTCATTGGGGGAGCAAGTAAGGAGAAGGGAATTCAAGAGATGGGAAGTGCAGGTGAAGAAGCTGTTTGAGAAGAAAAGACGGTTACGGTTAACCATTTTGATAGTGAAAGGGTGGGCCTGAGATGCCTGCCTGGTAGCTTGTTTAAATTCATATTTAACCAGTGAAAGTAGCTCATCAGAACAGTTGCCATGAAAATATTTGTAGAAGAGACAGAGGGAGGCCACAGCACATCTGTGGGATAGCAATTGTAGACTAGATGCCAGATCAGGACCTATCATCTTGCATATTCATCTCTGGATTTTGTCAAAGACCTAGAGACGTACAGCAGGAGCACCAGACCATATATGACAGCAATATTCCATGCAAGGATGAATGGTTGATTTACATATTTGAAGGATGGACTTAGACAAAACTTTATTCAAAAACATAATATATCTCTGTATAATTTTCTGATTATCTTCATTACTTTTTTTTTTAAATATCTTTAGATGAAGCATTTTAATTATTTTATTAACAATTTTACTCCATCTTATTAATGTTGCATTATACAATAAGTATTTCCACTATATTTTATTATAGGTTTCACATCATATATTAATTTTACTTTTTAGATGAAGCATTATAACTATTATTTGATTATTTGAGTGTTACACCATATAACATTGCTTCTTAATATAACAGGGTGGCAAACCCAGGTTCAGAGTTTTACAGTATATATTGATATAACAAGATGACAATCCTGGTTCAACATTTTATTGCTTCAGAATGGCTAATGACAATTTGGAATAAGAAATAATTATAATTAAACAGTGAAAACCTCTTGGAAACTAATTAAGTGCCAAGGAGAATAAGGATAGAAAGAATTGATTAAAAATAATAATTAGAAATCCTAAAAGTACTGGAAGCCTATTCTATATTTTTAATCTTGCTTTAATATCTGTGACAAAAAACTAAAAAATATAATGAAAGAAATCCTAGTTAATAATAATTGACAATGCTTCATCTACAAAATTCAGACAACTTAAGACTATTACATCTTATTATTAAATAAGTAGATGAAAGAAATACTATTTAAGAATTATTAATTGATAAGGCTTCATCAAAAAAATTTCAATAATGTTTAAAAAAAAAAAAACTTCTCTAACAATCCAAGATGGATAAAGTCAGTATGAAGTGAAAGTGAAAGTATTTACCTCAATACTCATTAGGAATGGTTCCAGTTCTTCGACTGATTTGCGTATATCCCATACCAATAAGAACAAACTGTTTTTACTAATGAAGCAATTGTGAATGTCACTAAACTTGTCAGGTTTTGAAAACTCCCAAACATTAAATGTTATAGAAGGAATGGAATTGGTCTGAAAGATAAAGAAAATAATATGAATATATTGGTTACTCCACTTGGCTTCACCAAACGCCCATTAGATGAGGCTGTTTGAATTTATAAAAAGACAAACATTTCCTTTCTCTTCTTCTTTCTTCCAAGATGTAGTTTGCACACAGATGAAAACATCCCCACTGGGTCATGTTTGTTTCTCCAGGCCACTGACTACTGAATTATATCACACATGCATATCTCTCTCACACACACACACACAAACAAGCACATTCTTAATAGCTAAGTTTTTAATGATTTGTTCTTTTCTTTAAACTCCCTACACATTAATGTAATTTCTTTTGTTAATACATGCATTAATTATTTATTTAAAATCTGTTTGTTTTTATTATTTTTGTCTGGACTCACATGAGTTTGTCAAATATTGTTTGCAAGCTAAATGTTTCAGTAACCCATAGACATATACTGAAAAAACATCATCCACACCTAAAAACAAAAGAGGTAAATCCCACAACAAATATATCACGAAATCAATAATTACCAAAAAAGAAAATTTGATTATAGTTTTTAACATCACAATTTGCATCATTGATTTCAAGTATATATGTGCTAAATAAGATTTAAAAAAAAAAAATTATCAAAGTATACCCTGACTTATCTTAAAAAATAATGCAGAATCATAGGCCCTATACTGACGACACATTAATCAATTTGATGCCTTCCACATGTGTTGCCTATGTACCATCTGCAACAGAAAACTAAGTGATCACATTAGAAACAGTGAAGATCTGATTAAATGCAACATGACAGGTATTGAAACCATCTGAATGAAAATCCAACTCGAGTGACAAGGACATCTTTGGCTAGTTTCTAACTGCGAGCAAATATTATAGCAAGTTGTCAGCATTCAGTTCCTCTCAATTATAGCCTTACCTGCTGCTGCGGCTTTGTTACCTGCAGTAAGGTGGGCCTTGCTGTTTACTCATGGAAACATGTGGCAATTGATTCTTGACTACTTGAGTGAAATGTGTCAACCACATATTCTATCTGTCTAAAAGTATGCAAAACACCTGCAGGCTTTGGGAGACACATGCATCTCCATAGAAGTTGGGCACCTTTTTATTTTACTGATCCCTCATTTGTTGTCCACAATGATAGTGCCCACTATATATATATATATATATATATAAAATCTACTTGAAAGACAATGACTTATTTATCCCCAGAGTGGACAACTAGATATTTCATAATTGTTACCCATTGACGTTTTTACATATGTTCTACTATAAATAATGCAATTTAATTTTCATGCTTTGATAACAAACACTAGTTCTATATATTTTACTGTGTCAATATTTATTCCTAATGCTGGTAAATGTAATTTTTGCAGCATCTAATAACTAGCATCCAAAAACATAAGAGACATGAAGAAATATTGTGCAGAAACTTCAGAGAAATAATGGCATCCCAAATTTCCAGAAACCAGTTCTGTAAAGGCAGGCAATCTTGAGGAGCCTATTCTGCTTATTTTCTTTTCAATCTGAGAATGGAAAGAAATCATTTTAAATAATATTAAAAATAATTTTGATAATCTAATAGAAAACATTTATTTATTAAGATATTTCCAGATTGAAATTCTGTTCTCATCATATTTCTGTTCAGATGTATGATACTTTTTGACTCTAGAGTCATCAGCTATGTTATGGGTTCTTAGCCACATTGAAACTAAAGCGCTGCAGTCCCAAAGATCCAATGGAAGACTGATCAAATTTATGACTAAAAGATTTACCAAATTTTTAACTTCAAGATGATTTCTTTTGTCAGAATCAATTATGTTCATCACCACAGTACTTACAGCAATGGGATTAATTATATTTTTAGAAAATATACATTGACTATTAATATATAAGTTTATTTTCGGATAATCCAACAACTGGTTCGCTAAGCTGTCATAATCTTAAGAGTTGGTGCAAGCCAGTAGGATGCCACCACTGCTTCAGAGTAACCTTTTGGTGTTTTCAGTTTTTTTTAATCTGATAATAATCAGAAAATGGCTGTTGACAACTTATGTATTGTTATGATAAGCAAAGATTACCTTAGAGAAGATGACAAGACGTTCTTAGAGAAATTTATCCTTGCTCTTTTTAGTATAGCAGTGAATCAACAGTAATCCAGGATAATTAAAAAAAGTTGATGGCAGTGAATGTAACAATTGTACTGCAAGGACTAACAAGATATCTTCCTAGGAATAACTTCGTCTTGTATCTTCTTACTCTAGCAGTGAAACAATTAATGAATCAAGACAATTCATAAATGATAATGATGACAGTTAATGTAATGATTGTACTGGAATGGCTAACAAGATATCTTGCCAAGAATAACTGTCTTGTATCTTCTTACTCTAGAAGTGAAACAAATAATGAATAGTGAATTGTTATATCTTCAATACTTCTGTTTCATCCAATATTGATATCACATAAAAACCTTGATTTCCATATAAATTTCTGTATTTCTCTAGACTAGAAAGATATAAATAGTTTAAATATTATAAAGCAAACTGACACATAATTTAAAAGCAAATGAGCAGTAAAAACCTACTTCAGGAAATATTGTCCATTTTCTTTCTGTTGTCCACGTGCATGCACTTAAACCTGGACTTGTCTTCAGATTCTTTACATTTCCTTTTGTCAGACCATTTAACAGACTCGTTTTACCCTTACCCTGAAATTATAATAAACTTTACATTTAAATATACTAAAATAAGCACCAATGGTTACATTTCAACAATAAAAAGTTAATACAAAAGCTAGAGAAAGCAAGTTAATTGGATGGAGTTATACAATAGGCATTGTAAATAATCATTTGGTTTGATATTTTTTTTGTTCACATTACTATAGATTAAATACTCCACATCACAAATATTCTTTTTTAAATTATGAAAAGTTAATCGGATACCTAGTTTGTTTTGCAGATTCATTGTAAATTGATTCCACTATGGAAGCCAAAACAAAATATGCACATAAAATGTAATTTCTTAAAATTTAAAAAAAATAAATGTTTTTTTTTTCTTGTAAATTCATATGTTGTGCTTAATTGATAATAGTCTATGAAAAAAGAACTTCAGATTATGAATTGAAAAAAATCCTTTTTATTATTTTGAATTTTAAGAAATCACTGAGTATGACAATATTTTTCTTTTAACTTTCACCGGGGGATCAATTTACAATGAATTTACATAACAAACTGGACCCCCCTCAACTTTTATCATGTTAAATAAAAAATTTTGTTTTTTTATATTTATGATATAGTGTTTAATCTATAAACTATAGTAATATGAAAAAAAACTCTAAAAAAATAATAATTTCTGGTGACCATGCCTATGGTCTAACTCCTCCATAAATTGTATTAATTAAATTTGTATTTTTAAACATATGTTCAGGAGGAATTACAGCAATACCCATATAAAGAAGATAAGAACAATTACTTTTAAGGTCATATCAGATTCTAACAAATGAACATTTCAATGGATTTATTTTAATTCTTCAATAAAGTTTTATTTTATATAAATTCTTTTGAATCAATATTCTTATCTTTGTTGCTATTATTCTCATCATATTTCAGCTGCTATACTCTACAAGCTTTATTGATGATTTTTTGACAGAAGATATTCTTTGTATTATATTACTTTGATAAAGTCCATCAGAGGACAAAACGCATTAGCTAAGGTAAGTTTCACTTTTGTCTTTATTTATATTATACATGTTAATTGAATCAGCTTCCTCATCCCTGTTGTCTTTTTCACATGTTTCAACTAGTATGTCTGCATTAGTCTTATTCAATACACAAATTTACACCAGTTCAGTGCTAATCCTATGGAAGAACTATGTGACAGAGAGAGAGAGAGAGTCTGGGAAACACACACACGTATATTTGTTTTTACTGAAATGGGAGTAGATTTAAATAGCGAAATTAGATCAGAGCATTTTGTTTACTGATGGAGAAATCTAATCTAGGGCAGGAGTTGTACCCATTGGATCTGGGCGATTAGAAGACAATGGAAATGGTCGAAATAATTTTTATTGGTTAAAATTTGAAATAGATCTTAGTAAGTAAGAAGGACCTTTGGAATTCTCATGATTTTGGTTGAAGCAGCCGGAAGCCGTGATAATCGCGTGCGAAGTAGTAGGACCAAGGGTCGGTTATGACCAGCCGGGTTTTTCTATATAAACGCACAGTTATGCTGACAAAGTGAGAGACGGGAGAAAATTCTTGGCGAGACTGGAGATGAGAATTAGCCCAGGCAAGAGTTGGGCTAGAGACAGTGAAGAGTCAAGTTGGAGACTCGAGGAGGAGAGAAAGTGATGTCAGAGATTGAAATTGAAGCATCCGCTAACATGTACTGTTGATATAAGTACCACTGCTTCTGCTACCACGAATATTACTACTGCTAAGGAGGAATGCCACTATAAACTTTAAGCCGCGCACAGAAATCTTATTCCCCCATCGCAAGAGTCGTATGTCATTCTGAGACGATTTAACAAGTTAATCATAACACACTCTCTCTGTTCAGAATCCAGTGTATGCATTTTTACATCAATTACTTTTCTTTTCTGTAACTCGTTTCTTTTCTGTAACCCGTTTCTTTTCTATACTATTCTTTTCTGCTACATAAAAGACATTAACAATTCAACCATTGAATAGTTGTTTGTCTGGCTTTCTGCAGATATTAATTTTTTTTTGCGGCATTCTAAATTTCTTAGCACAGACTCTCCAGCCATGTCTACATCTTCAGCCAACTGTGAATAGACGAACATCTCTTCTGCTTTCTGGATCAAACCAATCACAACATGGGCAGGAAGCAGGATTAAACCAGTGGACCGGTCGAATAATCTACGGATGCTCAGGGGACTCACGGCCACTCCCTTAAGTTCGGTTAGGACCGAGTAGACACCTCAACCCAGAGAGTAAGATGTCAGAGGTTGAGGGGCTGGGGAGAAAGTGTTAGAACTATATAAGTTCTTGAAAACATTAGGAAGCATCCTAGACTCAATTCAAAAGGAGATCCTGTGGATCAAATCAAGTTCCCATAAAAATGGCTACTAAACGTAATAGACAGATATGGATTATTAGTGAATACAGCAGACAAAAAATTCTGATAAAGGCAAAAAATGGTACAAAAGGAATCAATGTATCACATTAACAACACTTTGTCATCAAAAAAGTGGTGATAAAAACAACAATGATGAGGCTTTTGATTCAAACAATCTGTTTATGTTAGTAACACTACCTTTGCTAATAAGTTCAGGCAAGAACTGATTTCTAAACGGTATTATTATAGTTGTTAAATATTCAACTAGTTATTTATATATGTATTTAGAAAATCTAAGTTTTTTTCTGTTTTTAATGGTGTATTTGGATGAGTTGTTAAAAATTAATGATGAAAAGATGATATGAATATTTATTTAAGAACAGTGACAAAAGTCAAGATGCCTAACATTGAATCAGAAAATCTTATATTAATTTTGAGCGGAGATCTTTGTTCAGGAGCTGAAACAAACAAGTGAACAAACCAGCTAATATAATGTCATATGCTTTTTATTAATTATATGTTTTCCTAGTAAGCATAACAATACCTTGATGGACTTTATTGACTCTCAGAAAGAAAAATTAAAATTTGAATAAGAGGAGAAAAAAAAATGATGACCTTATACATCAAAACTATATTTTCTATGTTTAAAAAAAATACATGAAAGTTAAAATATATTCTCTTTTCATAGTTTCTGTTTCGATTCTTTCTGGAACTTGCATATTATGACAAGGTTTTCTTTAGTTTATTTGACCGATTCAGGACTTATGCTTTCTTTAAAAAAAGTGGGTAAACCTGCTATAATATTTGGTCTTTTAACACTCCGGTTTTTTTGTGGGCACAAAGGTCCAAAGATTAAAAAAAAAAATGAATTTTTTTTTTTTTTTTTTTTAAATATCATTTTGTTGGTATCCTCAACATCCTCCTGTAGATCCACATTCCTGTTACTTCAAGTCTCTTTATCATCTGTTGGGAGACTATCCAGTATTCCCTGCCATATAGGAGAACCAATATTACATAACAGTTTAGTACTCCTTTCTTTGTAACAAATTTTTCTGATGCTTAATACTTTACTCAGCTTTTGGAAAGCACCTTTCGCTATTCAAATATGCTTTGGGATTTTGGAGTCACACCTTCTGTCCTCTATTAAAACATTTCCCATATATTTAAATTTTGTGTTGTAATGGAATGTCCCAGACTCCCTATCGCCTACGTGGACTGACTATATCAGTAGCTATATATAGTGAGCACAGGATATACCTGGGGGCTTGCTTCAACAATTAGTTAGAGATTCATCTCCAGCTGTGCTGGTCAAACTCTGACTCCAAGCAGAGAGGATCCCCAGATAAGGCTATGTCGAAGAGCAGAGTCTCTTCTTGGGAAACAGCTACCCAAACCCGTTTTATACGGGGAATTTTTGGTCGAGCCTATAGGTTTGGATACCCCACATTATATTCATCCTTGTGCCGCATCTGATCACATCCAATAATAAATCCTGATAGAATCAAAAGAAGTTGAAATTTCTAGGCTAAGTTTAAGTGTTCTAATTGTTTCCATTTTCTCTAAAACTTCATCATTGCTCACATGTTCGGTCCATGTTATCCTCAACATCCTTCTGTAGATCCATATTTCTGTTACTTCAAGTCTCTTTATCATATGTCAGAAGATTGTCCAGTATTCACTGCCATATAGGAGAACCAATATTACATAACAGTTCAATACTCTTTTCTTTGTCTATAACAATTTTTTTCTGATGGTTAATACTTTACTCAGCTTTTGAAAAGCATCTTTCACTATTCAAATGTGCTTTTGGATTTTGGTGTCACACTTCTGTCTTCTATTAAAACACTTGCTAGATATTTAAATTTTTGTACTTGTTTGATTTTGATGTCTCCAATTTACCATTCGCATGTTGGGCTGCAATGTAATGATTTCACTCACCTCAGATCCCATCACAAATAATTTCATGTAATGATTCCACTCAGTATATATGTAATGATTTCAATGTAATTATTTCACTCACCTCAGGTCCCATCACAGATAATTTCATGCACCAATGTGGTTTAGAGTTACGTTGTTTATACTGAAGAAATGTTAGAATCTCTTTCCCACTTTTATCTGCTAAAATATACAATAAGGAAAAATATGTTAAACAAATTTCAAGAGCTGCTGAAAAAATTTTGGTCTTATCAAAAAGCACTTCATGAAAAAATTCTGATATTTCATCATATTTCAATATGTGAGTCAGGCCAAGAATTTTTCAGAACCTCTTTTTAAAATAATTTTCTAATTGTATTAAAAACTGATATGGCTATCTTGATTTAGATAGAAATAACAGGTTTTATGATTTTTATTTATATAGAGAGTCACATTTTTTATTTAGTTTAAGATCTAAAGTAAAACATGTTTTTTCTGTATGTGAAGATTAAAATCATACAATTTTTTTTTTAATTCTGCATTAATGATATTCCTGTGAAAAGAATAAATTAATAAAAATTATTTTAATAATTAGAAAAAAAAAAACGGTGAAGTCATATACAATAGGAACTGCAATGATAAATAATTATTTTTCCAATTTTTTTTCATATCACTATACATTAAACACTCCAGACTAGAAAATGAAGTTTTTAATATTTTTTATGGCTTACCAACACTTTACAGACTATTTAAAACTAGAAAACATTTTTAGATTGCAAGATTTTTTTAGAGATAATAATGATTTACTGATACAAATCTTATTAATTAACCCATAGCTGGGAGGATTCATACCTTTCCTAAATGTATTTGCACAAAAGTGAATATGACAAAGCCATCAAGAATTGGAACTTGGCTCTCCAATTAACAATTTTGAGCCATTATCCATTACCCCAGCAGCAGGTTCAAGCTTACAGCACCTGGTATTCCCAAGCAGTCATCCATCTAGGCTCAATGTTGCTTTATTTCAGTGATTGTTGTTTCAACATGATATGGCCATAAGCCTTATTAAATTTCATAAAAAGTTAATAGGGGTTCAGTTTCATTGCAAATTGTCCCCCCCCCCCCAACCATGGAAGCCAAAACAAATATGATCACTTATGATTTCTTAAAATGTAAAAAAATTAATTTTGGGGCGAAATTCGTAATATGGAGTACTTAATCTATAGTAATATAGTAACATAATGAAGAAAGAGGACTTGGAAAATCTGATACTCATAGGACAGATTGAAGGCAAGAGGGACAAAGGAAGACAATACATAACCTACTTACTGAACATGAGTAAATGGATGGTGGGGAAAGGTTTAGGAGGGATAACAAAAGAGAAAATTTATTAAGAGCTACAAAGAACAGGAAATTGTGGAGAGTCATGATTGCCTATGTCCTGAAGAGACATATTACATGAAAAAGTTATTAGTGTAAGAGCAGATACCAAATCCAAAAAAAGGGAATAGCAACAGTCATTTCCTGTTTGAAATGACAAAGCTTGACCAGGCACCGGATACAAAAAGGTATTTACTTAGCATTTCTACTAAGGCAGGATGAGATAAGGTCTTTTTTAACAAATGGGTCATACACATGTGCATACAAGCCAAGGACAAAAATTGCAACCACTGTCACACTGGCATTAATATTATACCGACCTCATTTCTCTTAGTGCAATGAGGAAAGTGCTGCCACAGAGCTATAATCCCTATGACCCGGAATCTTCTCCCACCTAAAATAAGGAGAGAACAAATAACATACAATGATCTCAGCCAAAAGACCCAGAAGTGATGCACCTGATACAAAAACTGACAAAGGAGTAATTGGCAGAGCTTAAATACAACTCCAGAATTGAACCACTTTCAACCAGCAGGTGTGCAAAGCCTCTTGCTGTGGATTTAAATACAATTAGCTTCAATGTAGATCTAATAATTAGGATAGAAACATTGGCAAAACGTGATATAAAAAAATGACTATAGACTTATTAGTTTATTAAAATAGATACTTTAATTATTTATAATTTCAGGCTTACCTTCTCTTATTCCTTTTGGAACATTTACAACATCAAGCCCTTCAGTATAAAATTCTTTGCAGGATTCCAATAAGCCAAGTTCTTCAGGTAGTTTTTTGATTCCTGAATTTCTATGAAAAAAATTAAATAAAAGGGAAAATCAGCAAAATTAAATCAAAGAAACAATTGAAAAAATCCAATCAAAAATTCTTATAATTCTTCAATTTCCACATTTGAATTTTATGACTTTCTTCTGACAGAATAACCAAACAATTGCTTTCATATGTACTAGTTGAAAACCTGATCTACAGGGAGGATTTTAAGCTTGTTCTTGTGTGATGGAGACTTTGACCATAATTGTAATGTTAACCGTTTCCTTACAAGGAAACATTTGATATTTATTAACCAAACAACTAGTACTATTTTTGGTCGAAATTTATAAAACCTTTCTCTTAAAATGCTTTTTAGGAAAACGATTTTTTCAAGTCCAGTAGCTTTTATCAATCTTTCCAGTATTGATGGGGGTTTACTTTGGAACCTTTTATTTGAAGTGGCGTAGAATGTTAACATCTTGATTATGTCCTTATTTTCTCTTCAATTTATATGTGCTATCCATTTTAGTTGTTGCTGCTGTTGGTAGTTTCCAAGTGATGTTTTTCTGTTATTTGGTACAGTTCTTTGTGACTCTTTAATGCCAGTTTATAATGTTCAAAGAAGGATGATTGTTATCAAGACACTCAAGCTTTATTTGTTCAAAGTCTTTTTTCACCACTGATCTTTGGAAGTGATTGTACACATGCATAACTTACATATGAAAGTCTCAATCTAACAAGGCAATTTTAGAACAGGACTCAAGTTTGTAGCAATTTGCAATGTTGGGCAAAACAAGCTCTGGCACAGCCTATTCTATGTTCAATTTCTTTTTCTCCTATACTTAAGGAGAATGAATACTACTACAAACAGAAATGCCAGGTAGTACAAAATTGGAATCTGTAGAAACAGGACAGCAGATCAAGAACAATCTACACACAAAGATGAAATGTTCAGTTCCTAATTCTCTGAAGATTACTTGGATAAACTGAAGTACAGAGAACATTGTGATTAACAATAAAGATGATGACATTAATATGACTGTAAATAACAACTCATCTAAAATATTCAAACTCATATTTTTGCAAGGAATTTTTTAACATATTATAAAATTATTTTGTATCTATTTTATTTCATTTTTAAAAATTTACACAGGACAATAACCTAATCTATGAAAGCAATGATTCATGAATTTGGTGATATAATAATGGGGAGTTCAATCCTTGAACTGGGTTGTACACAGGCTCTGTGGAAACAGGGTAAACAATAACAGCAGTACTAAATAAAGGCAAGAGATATCCCTAAGCATGGATAGTGGAATGAGAATCTATTGCCATATATTCAATAAAATGAAATTCCCTGAAATTTACACAGATTGACAGAAGACTGAAAGGCACAACAGCCAAAATGATGTGATAATAACAACAGTTCAAATGTAAATAAAAAAAATGAATTTATCTTCCAAATGTTTAATAAGATGTAATAGTCTTAAGTTTTCTGAATTTCTTAAATGAAGCATTGTCAATTATTATTCATCGCCAGACGCCCGTAATGCGCGTTACAAGGTAAGTGCGTAAGTCCATCAAATCGTTAAATGCTGAAGTTCGTCGAAGGCCTTCCTCATTTGCCGTAGCCAAACTCCCGTAATGCGCCTTACGAGGCAAGTGCGTATGTCCGTTGAAGGCCTTTCTCGTTTGCCATAGTTGGACCCCCGTAATGCGCCTCAGAAGGTAAGTGCATAGTTTCATCTTATTTCTCTTGCTTATTTACACCAAATAGTAATAAGATGCAATAAACAAAAGTTGACTGAATTTCTTAGAAGAAACACTGGCAATTATTATTAATTTTTGACTTGTATTTCTTTTATCTTATCTGCTATCATCTCCAAATAAAATCCCCAAAAGGCTTGCAGATTTGACGGTATCCCTGTAATTGTCCTAAGAACATGTGCTCTTGAACAGTTACTGTTCTCTCCAAACTTTACAACAAATGCTTTGCTACTTCTTGCTTTACAGTTTGTTGGGAATCCACTTCTGTAGTTCCGGTCTTTAAAAATATCTGGTGAACCTTCCGATCCCTTAAATTAATTGTCCTATTAGTCTTTTACCTCTTTTTGGTAACATACTAGAGGCTCTAATCAATTTCAAATTGGTTAAGCATCTCATATCACATGGTCTTTTCAGGTAAACATGATTTTTTCCAGGTCAACCACCAATGTGCTAACAGTTATTACTGAATTTGTCTATCAAGCTTTAGATAAGGCTCAGGCTATAGCTTTAGATATCTCAAAGGCATTTGATAGTGTTATGGGACCTACTTTTATGGACTAAATGAACTCGTCCTATTACTATATATACGGGGAGATTATCCCTCTCAAGAGAGCTGTCTACATTTGATGACTTGACTACTGTACTTTGCCGTCAGTCGGATGTGCAACACTTTTGTATTTGTTCTTTTTGTTTAATAATATGTTTTCACAAAATTGCTGAGTTCAAGTTTTCTTTCAGACCTATTCTGGGTCCACAAAAGATAGGTTTTGGCATGCTGTCCTTCTGTTATACTGGAATGTACCTATTCTATTGTTAATAGACTCTCCCACATATAATAAGTAGTAGTAGTAGCAGTCGCCAGTGAGCTCAGTGAGTTGGTCAGTCAGTCGATGTCGGACATTAAAGTATCAACCACCACAACTAGATTGCTGCATCATTAACTATTATTTTGTATGTCGAAACTTTTTAGGACCAACTTAGTGAAATACAAGCCTCCACTGTGAAACAACTCTACAACAACTTGGCGACGAGGGATTCGTTCTCATACAGAGGAAAAAAAATTTTTCGTACTCTATAACACCTTCACAAGCTCAAGGGCTATGGTGTCTTTGGTCAAATATTTGATATCCAATCATTCTTAACAAATCATGTAATGAAGGTCATGTTGAATGGCCATGTTTAATTTCTTCAACAACCTTCCTGATGTCATCAGAACCCAACTAGGTATTTATACTGATGCCGCAAATATTTACTTCTGTCATAATAATAAGTTTGATAAATCCAACAAAATAAAAATGGCAACTGCTCTTGAAAATAACCTTGTCAATTGGGTCAAGAAATAACTTGTAAATTTTAACACCTCCAAAATGAGGCTGCTATCTATTAATCATCCTAGAAAATTATATTTGCCTTCCATCAGCATGGCTGATGCTAACCTCCAAGTGAGTAACTCATTGCACCTTCTTGGTCTCATGTTTTCCTCTGACATGAAATGGAGTGATATATTGAATAAACTGCTAGGTCTCCTGCTAGGAAAGTTTGTTCACTGTGTTGTACCAGATTACTTTTTTCATAAGAATCCATCTTATACATTTATAAATCTACTATTTGTTCATGTATTTAATATTGCTGCCATATATGATCTGGTGTTTCTGCTATATATCTTAAAGATATCGATAAACTTCAAAGAAAGGTCTCTCATGTTATTGGTCCTGACCTGGCATCTCGACTTCAGTGGCTTTCCCCACCACCATGACATGGCTTCACTCTGTCTTTTCTATAAATATTTTCATGGCAGTTGCTCTAATGAACTCTCCTCCTTGGTACCTCAGCTGCATGAATTTAAGCATATTACTAGATTGGCAATTAGGTCTCATTGATTTACTGTTGAAATAGCAAGATATAACTAAGTTCTATTCTAATAATTTCTTTTTTCACACTTCTTGCCTGTGGAACTCTCTTCCAAATTCTTGTTCTCCTGCTATTTACAATCTTCAAAAGATTAAAAAAAAAAATACAAAAAAAAAAAAAAAAACAGCATTTCTTTGGTCTCAATTTCAATTGGTTTTATCACAACTTTACAATCCATCATTGTTGCTCTCAGCAAGCAAAGTTGACTGGAAATAACAAAAAAAAAAAAATAAGCCTCCAGTGAAACTGAACCTCACATATAATCATGAGATTCTAGAAAGCAACATGACCAAATTGCTACCTTCAGTTTGAACAAGGAGTTAATATTATTACTCCAGGTAACAGGTAAGCACGCTGAGCAAATATAAAAACAAGAAAATGGGACAATTTATAAGCAATTTTTTTTTTAACCCCAAGCAAAGCAATAATGCCACTAGGATGCAAGGGGCTACTGGAAATGAAAGAGAAGAAAAAAACTTTAGAAGGAACTGGAAACACAATCCTAAACAGGAAACAAGGGATAAATCCCTACTCCTGTTCAAAAGACCAGGGAGGAGTGTGACCTAGGCGATAGATGAACCTATATGAAATCAGAATGAAAGGAGAAGTCAGAGAGCCCAACCAATTTAATAAATATATAGTACGCATCTCAATGATGCATGACATAAAATGAAGATATTTTAAAGAAAATGAAAAAAAAATTACCCGCTCAAATTGAGAAAGGTCAAGGACTTCATTTTTGCTACGGAAGGTGGCACCATAGTCAGTTTATTAGACTCCAAATTAAAATCACGAAGACTTTGCAGTATAGAATCTGGAATCTCTAAATCAAATGTTTCTATTTTGTCTGCAGGTTTCAGCTTGAAAATATTTAATCTGCTGTAAGAATAAGAAAAAAAAGCTTTTTAAAAAAAAATTAATCAAACAACAATTTGCTACAAAAGCATTCATAATACAAAATCATGAATATTAATAAATATACAGTATTCACATTAGCAAATTAATCTTGAGATTAATATGGTTAAAATAATGAAAAAACAGAGAGAAATAGTGACAAATAAGGCTGAAGAAATTATATATACTGTATACTACGCTCAGACATCTCAATAGTATTTAATAGCATGCTGATTCCTTTAATCAGGGAACAAAAGACAATGAATTTGGGATCCCACATACATGGTGGCATGAAGGAAGCTTGAAATAACTTTATTTAGAAAAACTTCCCATACCAACTCTATCCCCATTTGCTGCATCAAATTTGCAACATTAAGATGATTGTTATCCTGCAACAAAATCATCAATCTTTTCTTTCCCAATACTGGATTCAAAAAAGCCAATTCCTCACTAGAAGAGTGTGTTGTAACAGTTTATCCAACTTCCAACAATTCAAAATAAAAAATTCCTTACAAATCCTACCAAACACAAGAGAAGAGTTCACCCACTACCACCACCACCAATTGATTCTGTTTAAATTGAGAAGTTGGAACCTGTCCTGAATATTCTTCCTTTTGGATTCTTGTAATAAAGTCATCATTTTTCACTGCCATTTCCAGTTTTTTTTTCAAGCAAGAAGGGAAATAGAAAAGATAAAATGCAAACCATTATCCTAAATTAGGAATTTTTACTCAAGGTTGTAAATAATGTTTTTTTTTTTTTTATCATTTCATCGCAAACAAGGTGATAATGCCACTAAGACGCAAGTGGTTACTGGTAGTGGAAAAGAATGAGAAGATTTTAGTGAGGAGAAAAGGCAATAATGAACAAGATTGAGGATGCCTCTAATCAAAATTATAGGTCTAAATGTATTTTTATAATCAAAAATTAAAAGGTCTAAATGTATTTTTATAGTAACATGGTATATTAACATTATTCTTCCCAAAATTATAGGAAATAAACAGTTTAGTAAATGAATGAAAAAATTAGTGGTGAATGTAAATGTATTGGATTATATAATGAAATACATAAAGACTTAATTTTTGTAATATTCTAAAAACTGTCATCTTTATAAAATTTCTCAAAAACATAAATACAGGATAAAAATAAATATTCAAATAAAAAAAAAAATATGAAATAAAAATGAAAAAACAAATATCCAGACAGGCATTTATAAAGAAATAGCATTATTATATGTATATTTTAATACTGATTAAAAATCTAAAAATTTGACCTTATTTTTTTTATTTTTTGTTTTAATAATTTTACCCCAAGCAAGGTGATAATGCCACTAGGATGCAAGAGGTTACTTGGAGTGAAAGAGAGAGAGAAGTGTTTATTGAGGAGAAAGGACAAGAAAAGAACAGGATTTCGGATGACGGAACATGGCAATTGACACTGCATTTAAATTTTTGAAGATTGTATGTGGCAGGAAAGCATGAAACTGCAAGAGAGTTGCAGAGCTGAAAGTGCAGCGACAATTAAGTCATTGCACAAACAATAACAATCTGAGCAAACATCAAGTTCATTTCTAAGATATCCCTAACATTGTGCAAAATATGGTGCTGGGAACATTTGCATTAAACTTATACACATAGGATGTGTGTTATCAACATGGAAAGTGGGTTTGGTATGTCTAATTCAAATTCCTGACAAGACTATTGCATTGACTTTCACACAATTACCCTTCTTGGAAAGGTATGAACCCATCTCTTGTCCCCGTCAACAAGAGGTTAATAGCACAGTAGACTGGCCTCTCTAGCATTGGAAAAAAATTAACTGAATTCAAAACCAGCTGAGTGTGAGATTAGAAACTCCACCTATGGAAACCACAGCAACAATACTTGGTGTGGTGAAGCTGTGGCCCCATCATCCACTGGGGAACTTACAGAATTAGTATACATACAATACTTATATAAAAAATGATGTGTTCTTGATAAATATCAAGAAATTTGAAATTTGTATTCATACTCTCCTTTGAAGTCTTGCAGATGAAAGAAACAGTTCAGCATCCAAGTTTAACAAGTGGAGTTAATTGATTTCACTTGGTCACATGTGACCAAATGATAACAAACCTCCAGTCACAGGATTTGGTTGCACCTCCGCCATTAACAGAGTAGTGGCTGAAGCATGCCAAAAATGCAAATACTGAGAAAATTATAAATTTGTATTGCTATCTGCATGTACACACATGGGTTTTTCATTAAACCCAACTATTTGTTAAATTTGTTTTCATGAGGAGGTGAATAATTATCATGAACTTACTCATATAAATATATGGATGTATTTGGCAGTTTGAACAAGTAGTTAAAATATTTGTGTCCTAATCATGAGACCCAGGAAGTCAAACTCGGCTCTCTTGAGAAATTAGAGAGCCAAGTTGGAATTCCAGTTGGATCCATTATATTCACTTACATACCAATACCCTTGGGAAAGGTATGAATCCTCTTCTACCCCTAGCTATATGTATATAGCAGGACAGACTGAGTTCTATAGCCTCGGGTGGCAACCAGTCTAGGAGAAGGAAAAAATCTGAATTCAAAACCAGCCTGGAGAGGGTTGGGGTCCTTCAGGCTATCTTGCCCAAGACACACCACTTCTACCGCAGCTGCAGTACATGTGGTGGATCTATAACCCTACAGGTCATGGGATTAAAAAAATAGTCAATTTACCGGGAAGATTACTTCTTATCAGCCCAGAGAAACAATCTGAGCATACAGCCTTATTGAAAATGCCTGAAAACCAAACCACAGGTTGACTGAAGCCTTATTGTTAAAGTCATCAATGTTGTGGTAGCATGAAGTCATAAGTCATTGTGACCAAGAGTGTAAGTAAACTTGCTTTGTTTAACTGTTGATCACAGAGATTATACACTATTTCCCAGAAACTGTAACTCAGACTTGATCAGCATAATAGCCAGCTACTTGTTTCTGAGCACTCCCAGCAGCTAGAGCAACTGACTAATACCTAGTCATGCACATTTGTTTTTGTTCAACACCCACAGAGTTCACTTGTGGTTTATACTGCAATTATACTAAGCAAACCTTAGTTACAGTTTTTGGAAGAGAGCATATAATCTGGTATGATTAACAGCTTGAATAAAGTCAGTATACTCAGACCCTCAGTCACAATGACTTATTACTTCATGCTAGCACAATCATCAATGTTAGAATTACACACTCCCACCTCAGACTGATAACAAAAAAGTCACCTTCCTGAAAAATCAACCATGGTGAGATTTGAACCAAGGTCTCATGGTTAGAAAGTGAACATTCAGTCACAAGCCACATCTGATCAGTATAGTTGCAGTATAACCACATGTTGTTTCTGTGGGTTTTAAAGAAATAGAAATATGCTTGAGTGAGTGTGTGCAATGGGGTTACTCACTCTAGCAAACAAGTGTAATCAGAGAAAACAATCAGCTAGTGCATGCACTGATTTAGGCATGTGTGTATTCACAGAGAAAGAAATATTTCTTTTTTTATTCAATAAATAGTTCTTACCGTTTACCTTCAGTGTCCTGGCCAAGACAATTGTATCCAACATCTAAAACCTTCAAATTAACACAGCCCCAAACATTGCAGTCTGGCAAAATCTTGATTTTGTTATTTGAAATCTTCAGCTCACTCAAGGAATCTAAGAAAATAAAAATTTATTTAAAATTAATTTCATTTTGATATCTATGATGAAAGTTAAATCAAACACACCTATAAATTAGTTTTTGAGAATAAATTGTCAATTTGACTGAAAAAAGGCGTGGTAATAAAGTAACCACATCCTATCTTTCCCCTCGCTTGTAACCATCCACTATAATAAAATAAATGTTTCAGCACTAAAACTGAATTAGTCAAATAAAGCTTCATGAGTTTCGACTTAAAGTTATTGCTATATTACAAAAGGTTTTGTTAAAATTAAAAAAAAAACCTTTGACAAATGGTATGTCTTCAAATAAGAAGTAAGCATTTTTTATTAAATATAAAAAAAATAATTCACTCATGTCACAAAAAATGACAACATATTTAAGTAATTTTATTACTGCATTTGATTTACATCAAAAAATTTATGTTGCTCTGCATTTTATTATCTATGCTTAATACTTCCTGACTATTAGAGTAAAAGTTAAATTAAGATAATTGATCCTCTGCTTTGCGCCTATGGAATACATTAAAACATTTATAATAAATTAAACTAATTTTTAATATGTACATATATTAAAACATATCTTAATATTTTATTTATGGAGTCAATTGTAACTTAAGAGTTACTTTAACACAATTACTAGTATAAATATGGTGTAACTTTCCTACTCATTGCATAGAAAAGTGATACAGATATTTTATGTACATTCAAATAAGGAATAAGCATTTTTCATTAAATATACAAAATATTCAGGTCATAAAAAAAAAAAAAAAAAAGATTTTTCAAAATATACATGGATTCCTCAAAGACCAGTTTTCAAATCTGATGAAAAAGTAGCTATAAACTCCAGACCTCTAACATATCGGAGTATGTCTGACACTGAACTATTACCATTAACACACAAATGCCTTTTTACATCATAATGTTGATGGAAAAATTTCTGTGGAAAATGATTCTAGTGGATCTCCTGAACTTGAACCTACTTCCAGGTCTTGGTTATTAGATGCTCGGAGAAACAGAGAAATTATTAATAACCAACTTCAAAGCATCATGGAATGAGGAATATTTTTGAGTATAAGGGAAAATTGCAAAGATTTACATGATATGGATTTTAGTAAATAGAATACAAGTAAATGGTGTAGTATAAATTAAAAATCCTGAAAAAAACTCTGACCCTTCTGGGAACTTGGTAGAATGAGTAAACTTTTCTGTGGAAATGATGGAAATGTACATTCCATAAATCTTATAAGAATCATAACATACGACATGACATGAGAATCATAGCATACGACATGACATCTCAGTACTGGCCAACTTGGTACTAAGTATGACTAAATTACAACCAGATCCTGGCCAATCTTATCTGAGCCCATTTTATCTATGATCAAAACATTAAACTGTATCAATTGTAGTGACAATGATAAGTAAGGGTACAAGATTTAAAAACAATTATTAACATGCATGTAAGAATACAACTTGAATGGGTACAAAATTTAAAACAAGTACTAACATTCACGTAAGAAAACAATTTACTTCAGAAGACTAGTGTTAAATTTCACAAAATGCAAAGGATCACTTAAAATAATGCAAGATTTACTGTTCATAGTGGAAAAACTCAACCAGTATTGTCAGTGACAGTTTTTCCTGTTCATCAGTACTATCAACAATCCTATCTGGAATTAATCTACAAAGTCCTTGCCAATCCCGTCCTGGGTAAGACATTAAACTGCATCTATTCATACACCAATCCAGTCCTAGTTAAGACTTTAAACTAAATCTGGTGATGAGGACCTGCTTGTGGGACTTGGGGAATGTGGAATCACCCCTTGGTTGTCATCACTCCCAGGTCCACCCGTTTATATGCAATCCATTGGAAAATCCAACATAGTATAATTTCTTCACTGAATTGTATTTATCGTAACAACTGAAGTTTACCAAAATACTTTAAAGAAATGATCCAGCCAGATGTATAAATAACATCAACAGGGCTTTGCCCAAATAATACTTCCAGATGAAGAAAACACTTCTCAAAAGAAGTGCCAACCAAAGTGCACTTTAAACTACCCATGTCAAAAAAAGTACCAACCAAAGTGTACCTCGAACTACCCTTGAAAATTTGATCCACCTCAGGATGACAAGCTTTTATGGAAAAATTATATGGTTCAACTGAAGTAACCACAAAGGTATCCTTTTTTAATCATGCACACAATTATAAAAGCACTAATGGGAACTAACACAATTATGAGTAAATAATAAAACAGTCATAAAAATAAATACTAATCACAAAAGAATAAGTAATGTCATTTTTAATTGGTATAACTAATACTTGAAGTACCTTAACAAGGGTAGAAAATAAATTCATTAAACAATTAATGTGATAGTCTACATATAACACATAATCTATACCTAGCCAATAGAAGGGGCATAATTTGAATTGCATTAATAAATTTACAAGTGTCTAAAAAAAGGGGGGAGGGGACTCATCCATACATTCATAAATAATCAGCCATATTAATGCTGAAAAACATATCAATAATAATATATCAAGGATTATCATATTTCACACCCAGTGAAGTTATTTTTAATGAATTGTTCTAAAAGGTTAATTGTTAAGTAAACACTAACTATTGTGTTTACAACAACATATTGAGGGTGATGATTTCTCTTTATTTATTTAGTTTGATCTGTTGAATTGATGAAAATGCCTATTATTAATAAAGAATTGATCTATGTTTGTATAACAAATATTGTATTAATGAAGAAAATGCTTATTAAAACGACTAGTGTATAAAAGAAGAACAGTATTATAATCATATGAACTGTATTACTGGCAACATGCAATGGAACTCCGAATTGCATGTTTTCCCATGTGTTGGAAGAGAATAAAAAATATAGGTTAACTCTGGAGGATAGCATCATCATGCTGATGGAAAGCAGCAAGGAGTCTCTCCAATGATTAGTAGAGAGAAGTTTAATTTTGGAGGTGTTAAAATGAATACACTATCTTTTGCCCCAAGTAACAATGGACTTGAGGTTGTTTTGGACATCAGCTGCCATGTTGGACTGATCAACCTTACTATTTAAACAGGAGTAAATGGTTATATCATCAGCATAGATACTAGGTTGAGAATAAATTAAACTAAAATTAATTAAATTAAAATCTCTAGTTTCCTGTTTTTGATTGGGTTTCAGATTCCTCATAAAGTCTACTTCAACTCTAAACTCCTAATATACCTGCCTAAACGGTGAAATTTTATTTACTATTTATTTATTTTTCCTCAATAGGGGTAGATAGGTTTGCCTATCATCCAGTTCACACTCCTCCTTGGTCTTTTGAAAAGGTGGAGAGATTTATCCCTTGTTTCCTGTTTAGGATTGAGTTTCCAGTTTCATCTAAAGATTTTTATTAATCTCCAGTAGCTCCTTGCATCTTAGTGGCATTATCACCTTGATTGGGGTGATGTATGCTCTTGAAGGGTTGATTATATAAACAGTGACTGCGGCTGCTGCTAACGCAATGCTCTACTACTCAAATCAAGATATCCTAGCTACTGACATCTTTCACATAGTAAAAATGTTAAAATTTCCCTTCTGCTCTGCTGTGGGATGATAGCTTAGGGGTAGAATCTCTGACTGATGACAAATCAGTCAGGTTTCGATCCCGGCTTGAAGCAATCGGATGTCTAACCACACTGATGAGCTGTGATACAACGAAACAGTCTGTCTGTGGATGACTATATATATATATATATATATATATATATATATATATATATATATATTTTAAAGAAAAACAGACCACTTTAAGGTACCATTATAATAATTTATTTCAGCAGAGCCCTTTTAAAGGATGCCGGATCATCAGATAGCACTTCCAAAAATAAAATGAATATATATATATATATATATATATATATGATAGTAATAAAGATTATCCACAAATGCTTCTTATATCTAGATAGAGTAGACTGATGAAAGAAATTTGAGATAAAAAAATAAAATAAATGATAAAAATCGTGCTTCTATTTGGTCTAAATACCTACTAATATACAATAAATATTATTATTGTTGGTTTGACTTAGCAGATTTATAAATATATTTTGGAGAAAAAAACTGTGATAAAGTGGAAAAAGTTTTAATGTAAAGCATTTTGTTCTTTAAGACACCATTGGACTAAAGTGATGCTTAGATTGATGCGACTACACATGGGAACGAAGGGGGAGGAGAGGCTGAGAATTTTGATTTTAATTTTTTTTTAAATATATGTTTTGGCCATATAGTTCAGAGATGAGTAATTGTCAATAAACTTTTATTATTTAGAACTCTAATTCTTCTCTTCCAATTTTGATATCTATAGATTTGTGCTTTGCAGCTCTTAACATGTCAATGGAATTTGTAATTTGTAATAGAAGTTCTGAGCCAGATTTCTCTGCATAGCTGTCAGCTGACTTGAGCAAATCTTGTAATGCAACTTTCAAGCTTGTGTTTTTTGGCCTTCTGTTCTTTAATTTCCATAAGCATGGATTTCCATTTTTGTCTAAAAATGCTTCTTCCTGCCTTTTTTTCTTCTCAACCTCAAGGTATTGGTTGTATGTTGATTCGGCATTGGAAGCATTGCAGAGAAAAGCTTTAGTCATGGGAAATTTCTCAGCACCTCTAACTTTGGCCAAATAGTGATATTGCACTGTGCGGCCAGAGTCTGCCGTTTCATATTGTCAGTGGAAATTTTCTTACTGAGAAACCTCTCTCCACTGAGGCCTATCCATGAGAGAGTACCAGCAATCTGTGAACAGCTTTCCACAGTTTTTGATATTCTTTGTTGCTAGACAAAAAAAAACTGCTGATACATTTCTTTTTGGATAAATTTTGCGTAGCCCTATCCGCAAGAAATCCACACTTGGTCTTTGCAGAATTTTTATGCATGTTTGGATACATTTTCTAGTCATCTCTGGCAGAAATACAAGACTAAAGGGACAGGGTTGTTAGATTGAACTTTTAATATAAAGCCAAGCAATAAAAGCCAAATAAGTTAATATATTTCATCATTTTTTTCACACTTACAACAAAAGTTAGAGATACAGGTCATTATTAGCGTACAAACTTTAAAAATAACATTCTTCTTATCTTCTTCAAAGACATGTTCTCTCCTATCCTAAGACACATCAAAGGCACATTTTCTATTCATCATCTTTCCTGTCTACATATTCTTTGAGTCAAATTTGATTCTCAAACTTGTTAATTTAGGCAACAATTTAAACAAACATAATTTACACATAGATACACATTGACACGAGACGCATAAAGTATCTATTTTTTTCAGTATGAACTCACCCATTGCTGATTAGAGATCAAAAGGATTCTTTACCTTTGAAATTGACATGTGAATAAAATTTCTTCAATTGTTCAGATTTAAAAAAAAACAAAACTGGTAACTTTTTAGAGATTCTACTAAAATGTATTTTATTACTGTAAAATAATTTATTTTCCTTTCAACTACAAATTTAATGAGTGTGAATTAATTTATCTTTGACAGATGTTTACTTGTCTCTGATACCTTTTATCATTGCTTTTCCTCTTTTCTTGTTGAGAGAGAGGTTAGCAGCTAGGAGAAGACATGTCTTCATATTCTTTCTCCCTTTCTTCCTTCTTGCCTAGATGAGAAAATACAGAACTACAAGGTCATAAACTCGTTCTAATCAATGAAACAAACTGCTGTTTGCAATAATTGTCAAATATTACTGATGATTAAAAAAATCAAAAGCCAGATTTCTGAAATTTGGCATTCTTACTTTCATAAATTGGGAAAAAGGATGTGTGGGCAGCCCAATTTAGAAAATTCCAGGACTTTTCAAGGAGCTTTTGGGCTCTTGCTGTTTTTCCAGGACTTTTCAAGCCCTGGAAAAGGTTCTGTCAATTTTCCAGCACCTGTATGAACACGGCCCAGGCAATCATGAGCAACAAAAACCATATCAGGTCACATCTATTAACAGGTCCTCAAGGTCAATGCCATTGCTTACAGGGAGGTGCTAGACATGGTGATGAAGACTTAGATTGGGCAGGTAGCCAAATCATGTTCCAGCAAGACTCTACACCTTTCTATGTGACCCAGAAGTGGCTGGCTAAGAATTTTCCCAATGATGTCACCACCAACATGTGGCTTCCTAGACATTTTGATTTAAATCTGCTACTATGCCTGGGATACTGCCTTGAAGGAGACCAACTAGCAGTCTCCACAATACCAAAAATTAACTGAAGATCTGTATTGTGGACATGATGGCCAGTGTGAATAAGAAACACCTGATCTGGGTATGCAGTCACTTCTGAGGTTGCATTAGGTCCTACCTCAAGGCTTACAGCAGTTTTATTAAATAAACTTTTTATTTTTTTTTTTTTAAATTGAACATGTGTACAAATATTTTTTTAAAATATAAGGATTTCTTTTTCTATTTAATAGCTTTGTTTTCTTTATGTTATAATTTGTTCTCATTTACCTGACTCACTTTGTACACCTACACATTATATATACATACATACATAAAATATGTGGTGCCTCAATATGAGACAGGTGTTAACAAGGTTAGACTGGTTGACCATTACTACTGTTACATCTATACGCAGCCAAAACCCCCAACCACACACAATTTACACTTAGGGAACCACCTCTCTTGCCACCTCTTTATAATATAGTACATTTACTCACCCTCTGTCTTTCAATCTGTCATAATAGTCACTAACTACAAGAACAATTATGTCAGACAGACTGATAACCTTAGTAACAGATCCAAGTGCGATCTAAAAATAGCTTCTCATGCACATGCAGAATCATGTGATAAGTACAAAACAACGAATAGAAAAATAATGAAAGGAATCAGTTGGAACACAAATCTTAAGTGAGTAACATCTCTTTACTTGTTACCATCAAGCAAAGGAAATCACACAATGAAGACAAGTTCCAATTCAACTCAACACACTATGCTACATATATCAAATGCATGAGTGTATTACTAAGTGTGATAATCACCTAAGAAAGGAATGTGTGACCTACTCAGTTTGACGCAGGCTATGACTGTATATAGTATATATAGTGTTAAATCTTCCTACTTGAATGATGAATTCTACATTGCTGAATATGTGAAAAAGAGAGTAAATGATCAACTCTTGGGGTCAAACTCATAGCAGTGAAGAAAGAATCTTATAAAAAAAGATATTGCTGTATGGATGAAACAAAGTGAACTGAAAGTAAAAAGAACAAAAGAGAAATATAAAACAAAAGAAAGAGAGAGGAAAAGGAAAAGAGAAAATCCTATTTTATTTCAAGCAAATGACTAAAGCTAAGTGTGCTTTGACTTTTCATATCAGATATATAACGTATACATCTTTCCAAACAGAAATCCACTACCTTGTATTAATATTTTCATGTATTATCTTGTTATAATTAAATCTTATTAAATTATATATTGGCATTTGTTGTTCATTACTGTTGGTTGTTTCTACACATTCATGTATTTGACCCTATTAGAGAGAATCCGTCAACTACAGTGTGGTAAAACTTGGTCATTCATTTCTTTTTAACCCTAGATCACTAACCATGGGTATATAGTACCCAGTGCAAATTTTCCTATTTTTAATTACAATTTTCAGGATCTGATTTTCTTACCTAAATAATATGTTTTTCAGTTCCTATTAAGTTAACTCAAAGTACAAAGTTTAAAGTGCCTGCATGTAAAATATTTCAAATAAAGATTTATATTTAATATTTTTTTTGATATTTTCAAAATCAGGTATGATATATCCATGGTTAGTAGTGGTGTAACTTTAATTAATGGTTAGTGTTCTAGGGTTAAATTTTGTGTTCTGGCAATTGATCCATAACACTATATAATATAAAATTTGAGTCACCAAATACTGACATTTCATAAAATCAACAAACCCAACCTAACCATAAAATATACAGGCAAATACAGAAGTTTTTTTTTATACAAAGGTATTGTAAAAATTCTTTAGAAAAAAATTGTCAAATCAAATACAAGAGAGACAACTCTAGTATGGAAAAAAGTTACAGACATTAAAGCCAAAAACTCTTGGCATTTTATAGAATAAGAGATCCTGTTCTTGATGTGGATCTTAGCAACATCATACTATTTTATTTTTCTTCATTAAATTTAAAACTTTCACCTTTCTACTTACAAAAAATCTTCATGGTTTGTCTTTAACATCCAAATTACGATTATCACAACATTCCAAATTACGATTATCACAACATTCCAAATTACGATTATCACAACATTCCAAATTACGGTTATCACAACTCTTGCACTTATGGACCAATATTAAGTAAAACTGATGAATATCTAAGTTGAAGAAAAGTGACTGACACAAAATATGAAAAAGCTTTGAAACTTACGAAGGCGCACAATACTTTCACTAATTTCATTGAGGCTATTGTAGCTGAGGTCAACATATTGCAAAGTGGATGTCCAAAAGTTTTCTAAGCTACTTGAAATTTCAGTTAAGAAGTTGTGAGACAAATCCAAAGTGTCCTGCAAAAAAAAAATAAAGGACTATTAAAAAATTAATACATTGAAAACTTTCCCTCCACATTTTTTTCCATTTATAAAAACAGTAAAGTCAGTATTTTATTAGATTGTTGCATATATTTGTTAGATTTTTCTGATGTTCTTTGAATGATCTGAAAGAATAATCTTACACTGCATTTTTTGCCTCTAACTCTGGTCATCCTGCAAAACTGTTGTCTAACATTATTGAAATTTTATTTCAGATTAGATACTACTTTGAGACAGAATGCCAAGTAAACCAAAAATGAACAAATTCAACATTTCTTTGCTCTTAATTAAGTATGTCCACTGTTTTCGCGGAAAAACAGCATAGCGTAAATGAAAAATGCCACAAACTTAAAGAAAATAAAGTATTATCGTCAAAATGCTTATGTTATTATTAAGATGAAAGAAAAAAGTATTTTTTAATTATTTTTGAAATTTTTAATATTTTCTAACACGTTCGAAATTTTGGTTAAAGTCGTCTTTGTTTACGCTATCGCGGTGACGTTTAAAATAACATAGTTTTTTTTTTTTTTTTTACCGTTGAAAACATATTGATTTGGAAATTCTTGTAAAAATAAAATAATTGTCCAATCTTAATGAAATTTTCAGGACTTAATCACAAATGAATGAAATTATTTTTCGAATATTTTGTTTTTAGAAAATTTTGGTAAAAAATATTTTTTTTTAAATATGTTACCCCCCACTTAGTTAATTTCATGAAATTTCGCCCAAAACCTTTTTGGCTCCTCAATTTTATTTTTTGTTAAAAGAAGGAGTCTTTGGAGATGGTAAATAACCTACTTTTCTTTCACAAATTTGAGCTACTTAACTGAAAATTTTGTCTGAATTGAAAAATAATGAATCCAATAAAACTATGATATTACTTAATTAGAAAAGCTTTTAATTGCTTTTGTAAATAAGTAATATTAAGGACATTATTGTCTGAAGAAATAATTTTTTTCTGATGAATAATTAATTTTTACAAGAATTTTTTCGTTTTTTAAGAAATTTTAATTATAATAATTTATAATAGTTTAACATCGTGTAAAGCTCTGTATTAGGAGGGCTCCTCAATATTATGTAGTAATTAAGTAGAAAAAAATTTACGAATCCAAAATTGCTAAGTTTAATAAATTTAGTTGAGCTACTTTTTTTAAAAATAATTTTTTATGTTGTATTTTTTTACTTAATACATTCCTTATTTCCATGTATGATATACAGAAATTGCCATTATTATAACAAGGTCACGTGATCTAAGGGTTTTGTCCCTTTATGTGGCCTTTTCAAAACATTTCGTTTCTTATAAGTCGTATTTTCCGTTCAAAAGTGTAAACTTTAAATTTTAAATTATTTTTTCTTTTTTTCATTTACTATTTCACTAAATAATTTTATTTTATGTATTGTATTGTGTGTGTCATACTCAAATAGAATAATTTTTTTAAAAACTCAGACTTAAAAATTATGTCATTTATGGTCATCAGTAGTAGCTGTCATCGGTTTGTCAATCAATCATTATCAATAAGATCGAACAGATGAACGGGACCGCTTCGTTAATAATTGGTTGTATATTATTTTTTTTTATGCTATAAGTAACAAAGATTTCTTTGGAATCAGATTACTTTAACTTTAAATTTTTTAATTTTACTAAAATAACGTGTCAGAATTTTTTTAAATATTTTAAAAATCGATAAATTTGTGTTTGTTTACAAATTTCTTAAAATTAAGAAAATGGCCGTTTTAAGAAAATTTAAAATTTGAAATTAAATTTGACAATCAAATGTATATAGTTTCTATCTGAAATACACCAGAATTTTTTAATTAATAGAAATCGTAAATTTAGTTATTAAATTTTCAATTTAAGCTAAAATGAAATCTTCAAGAATGTTTTTTCATTGTAAAAAATTCATTTTAAACTTAGGTATCGAAAATTTATGCCGAAATAGTGGAGGTACTTACTCTTAATCAAGGTCACAAAGCTGGTTGAGACATTTGTGGCGTGTATGTAGATGACTTCATTACTGGCAGAAAGGAACAGAAATGGCCTTCCTGTTTCAAGGAGGGGAATTTCGAACACACATATTCGCCACATTCTGACTTACTTCTTCAGTTTGAGGAGAACCAATTACATGTGCTGATTAAAGAAATGCACCAGACCCCTTAGGGAATTGGCTCAGAAGATGGCAAGCCCTCATGTTACTGTCACTAATCACGTTCACTCAATGGGTAAAGTCCAAAACAACCAGTCAATGCTAAGCAATGTATCAAACAAATGAACAGGCTCAAAGAGGCAATTCAGCTGAAAAGACCTGACTGGTAATACAGTGTGATTATTCAACAAGACAATACTCACCCTCACATAGCTAACATGACCAAACAGACAATTAAAGAGCTTGATTAGAAAGTTCTGCTACATCCAGCATATTCTCAGACTAACACCTTTTTTGCTCATTTTCTAACAATTTGAGCAACGTTTTATCCAACAACAATGTGAAGCTTAAAATGTGCTTGCTGAATTTATCAAGTCAAAACGTAACGATTTCTATTGTTAAAACATTGAACAGTTAGTGAGTCATCAGCAGGAGGTTGTAAACAATGGAGGGGGATACATTGAATGATTCATCAAAAATATTAATAAATCAATATTAAAATAAATTATAAAATCAAACAAATTTATGTAACTACCTAATAGCATTTAGAAAATTTATCTATTTGGGTTTTACTAATAAAAGCTTTGAATCTAAAATTGATCTTTCAAAACATGACAGACCTTATTTAATTTTTTTTTTTTTAAATCAATTTTGGTTTTGTTTTGTGGCATATCAACACCTCAATGGGTTATTTAATGCTGACAAGATTTTACAATAGATTCATATGAATAGAATATGTAATTCTTTGTAAGAAATCACTTTGTAGATCAGGTTTTATTGATGCATTTTTGTAAAGAGGGTTTTTGTCAAGAGTCTGATTTCATTGATATATTCTTTTCAGATATACAGTTTGTAGAGAAATTGATTTTATTGACATTCTTATTTGGTTTATATGTTTTGGTATAGACCCACTGTTTTAAGAAATGATATTATGTCATTCACTTTTGCTTTCTGAAAGAGCTCAGACATTTTGTTTATATTATACTATTTTTGTCTTGAGAGAGCAAGGTTTGATCACTCACTTAATACATGTTTAATAGTATTCCATTTCACATGTTTGACATACTGGTTGATCTTTGTTGTTTAGTAAGTACAAGTAGGTTATTCTTGTATGGCCAATGTATAAGTGGCCAGTATTACTTCTTCCTTTCAAGATTTTCTGAAAGTTGACTTCCATTCTTCTAGGTTGGGCTGAAATGCAAAGAGTTTATTGTGTGAATTATCCTCCCAGCACTATTGTCATTCTTTTTTAATGTATTTGTTAATGATCTCCTTAAAGTCAGTGTATGGCATTTTGGTCATTGAATCTACATCCATATCTAAAGCTGATTTGGTTGCTAGGTCTGCTTTATTTTTACCTTCAACTACAATGTGTTGTAACAACAAGGTGATGTAATTTTATCTCATCCTCATTACCAAAATGTTGTAACCTAGGGAAGGTTAATGAATAATCACATGAAGGTTGGTAATGAACAATAATACTTAAGACCAGAACAACACATATAAGATTCGCCAGCGGTGCCTAGAAGAAGTAGTCAACTGCTAGAAGTGAGTCAAGTGAATTCCACAATGAATCTCAAACTGCAGACCAACATACAGTATTTACTATTGTATTTATGTGAATTAGGACATACCCATTATCTTCCACAGATATGATAGAAGACTAGGAATTCAACATAGTTTGATGTCTTTATGTTTGCAAGTAGTGTTTATTTTGCATAATATCTTATAATGATTGAGTTGTTAGATGTTTTTCCTTTCAAACCATTAGGACGGATAGCAAGTCAAAAAAAAAAAAAAAACAAATTAGAAAATTTTTTGTTTGCTCTCTGTGATGATGTTGAGAGCTAGCTCTATTGCATGAGCCTCTACAGTGAAAATAGAACTTCCCTTTGGGAGGTGCCTTTTTTGTAATATTTTGGCTCACTGCTGCACATTCTGTCTTGTCCTCACACTTTGACTAGTCTGTATAGATTGGTGTATGATTAGAATAGTTTTCCAATATGACCTGAAACTTGTCCTGGAATGTGGGTGGGTGCATTTTTTGTTTAGGGAGTTTATTTAATTCGAGAAAGACTTTGGGTTGCTTGCTTGTCCATTGTGGAATACTGGCTGCAGTTGTTTCTTGTAAGCTTGAGAGTGTGGCCCCTAACTCTTTAGCAATGGATTTTGTCCTGAGCCCATAGAGTTGTATGGTAGTTTAAAGGTACTGCTGTAAGCTGGGTTAGTTGGACATGATTTTATTTTGACATAGTACTATAGTGCCAGTTTAGTGTGCCTGAGACCAATCTCTCAAACTCAAACAAAAGTGATTACAGTTTGTCAATCACTGCTACCAAGTGGATGGTCTCATCCTTACTTACCTATGGCTCTTTTCTGTAGATGCCTTCTCACAAAAGTTGACTTTCCCAGACACCATAGCTCGGGACTCAGAGTTAGACATTGGGCATCTGGAGACAGCAATGCAGGACTGAGCAATGTAGAAAGGGATTGTTAATGAAATTCCAACCAACCACAGGGAGATTGAAGGATGATGATGATGATGATAATTAATGTTCATTGATCTGCTCCCCATTCATTATGAGCCACTACATGCAGAAATTGGAGGACTCTGCTACATTTTATTTTAAAATATTTTAGATGGAGAATGAATGTTAATTTTTTGTCAAAGATGATGCTTAGGAACTTGTGTTGTTCCACTACTGAAATTTCTGCTCTGTCCAATTTTAAAAAGGGACTGTTGTGCAATTTTCTAAATTTTCACAAATGTAGGCATTTGGTTTTCATTTTGGAAAAAGTAAAAAACATTTTCAGTGGCCCATTTGTGTATTT